GTATTTGGATAGTTACGTGATGTTGGGCTGTTTTGAAGTATTTTCTGATATTGTTGTTGCTGGAATTTTTTTGGAAATGCTTTGTATGTGTGTGGTTCTTGTTGATTTGAGTTTGGAAGAGAAGAAGAAGTATAGATGGATATTTAATTGTAACATAAATTAGTGTAACGTTGGTTCAATTATTGCATTGCAATTTTCAAATTGTCTCTTCTTGGTTCAACGTCTTGCGTTTAAGGAGACTGTTTGTTATTGACAAGACATGTTAATGTACTGCAAGATCCATCAAGTTTAAGTTTAGGTTTTGTCCTTTTAAGCTCTTACTGCATATGAAGAGAAAGACATGACTCCAAATGTATTTATTGGACGAACGTATAGGATGATGATTAGAAGCGGCGAATTCAAGTTATTATGGTTATATTGAACAATTATAAGACTGTATTATACATATATTTTTTTATGGATTTAATGGTTTGAAGACTCGTGGTTAGGATTTGGTTATGGTTATTTTGGGTTGGAAAATAGGGGTGTGGCGATATGTCGAGTTTTAATTGTTGTGCAGGCATACTCTATTTGGTTGTTGTTGACTATTGTGTAGGCCTCAACTTGTTAATAGCTACTGCAAAAATGTATGTTACATAATTAATTTGGGGTTATAATTTGGAGAAGAAAAGGTAATGAAGCATGTGCTAATTACTCTGCTAGTAATATCTAAATTGCTACTTTGACCCTGCCGTGTTAATATTCTGCCTGTAATGGTTTTGTGGCATGACTCTCTGTAGATTTCATTGTGTGGCATGATTTTCTGTAGATTACATACTGTAAAGAAGGGGTACAATCCATGTTGATACAACAAGACCCAAAATTGAGGTATGTTAAGGCTAAGCACTGTACTTCCTTTGAGCACGAATTTTGGAATCCTATATCGTCAAATATTGTTTTACTACTCTATTACTAGAAAGACCTTTGGTGAAAGGCATTGATATTGCAGCTGGTGTATTTTTGTGACTCCATTATGTTGCTATTCCACTCGTTCGGTTAGATAGGGTATTTGGCGTCTTTATGTCATTTTGTTGGTTCGCTTGACTATAGGTCCAAGTGTACAAATTCTTATTCTTCTTTAGGTGTAGTAACTTAAAAAGATTAGAGATGAACAATATGAATTTGAAATCAGTCCTCCTTCCTCGCTAATTTATATTTTTGAAAACTTTAAAATAAAACGTCGATCTCCAAAACTCTTAAATATAAATCGTAGGTTTAAACTACAAAAGTACATGTTTTTCTAAAATACTTTCTTTTACAAACCACTAAGGAAACATATATAGATACTAAGTGAGGAACTTTAAGCTCTTTATGAACATCCTCAAGGATTAAGTTGCCTTTCTAAATCCAAGTCAAGTGTTCCAGTTTAATCTACGACTATATAAGTTTCACGAGATATTTGCATGTGATACGAAAGTGATTACGAGATTATGAGGACAAGAGTACCAATGAGCCAAGATTGGCAACATGATTCAAGTAACAAATGCATTACAGATCCATGACATTACATGCTATGCATTATACTTTCAAGCTATAATCGGAAGGTATGGGGCCTATTGCCTATATTTATACGTATGAAACACAGATGGCCACAAGTTGGCGAATATGATCCCGATTCGCTACCGGATGGCACCACCATTGCTAGGACTTGGTTGGGTATGACATGCATTTGCACATATATATATATTCACGACATACGATTATGCGAGCATACCATGCATATTTAATCTATATAAGGTTTGATGTCAGCCATGGAGGCTACCAGAGTTTCTGTTTCAGGTGGTATCTTTATTCCCCTTTTTACAGTCACTATTTATTAATCTATTTTATGCCTTACATACCAGTACATTTTTATTCGTACTGACGTCCCGTTGCCTGGGACACATTTTTGTTTCGTGTGTGCAGGTCCAGGTAGGGATTCTGATTAACCCCTCTGCTAGGATTCGGGGTTCAGCTGTGAGTTGGTAAGCTCCTCTTCTTCATGTAGCTTTCATAAGATGTTACTTTTATTGTATTGTTTGGGTATAATCGGGGTCTTGTCCCGACCAGTGCTTATGTCACTCATAGAGGCTATTGTGGACACAGTATTTCTGGGTTTCCTTCTGCAGCTTCCAGTTTCCAGCCACATAGGCTTGGCATGTATAGATATGTATGTATGTGTGCATATTTGCATTGTAGCCTTGTCGGCTAGCTAGTACCTTATTATCTTTGGCTTGTCTACCTTCGTCTATATGACTTATCAATATTCAGGTTATGACCTTAAGGGTCCAGTCACAGTATTTTAGATGTTATGCTGCCTGACCGTCTAAGCCCTCAGTTGAGTCAGTCGGTATGTTTATGTGGCTAACTCGATTGCTTAAGGTGTCGAGTGCCAGTCACACCTTTTCTAGTTTGGGATGTGACATTTAACTTCAAAACTTTTTTTTAAAAATTTCTTAAACATATAGAAGCGATTTTACTTTTAATTTTTTTAATATATAAAAACGCTGCTATAGCAGCGATTTTAAAGAAAAAATATTTTTTTGAGAAAATCTTTTAGCGGAACGGCGTCATTTTTTGTCAGAACAAAATCGCTCCGTAGGAACGATTTTGCCCTTTTGGTTAAAATTTTTTTGATGTGCCGTTTTTATTTTTTGTAGAAAAAAAGTTGCCCTTTTAGCTCCGGACTCTACAAAATCATTACTTTTCCACCAAATTTTGTTTTGACTGAAAAATCTGCATTGAGTGTACCAATCCCAATGTATGTATAGGTTAGTTAAAAATTGTTTCCACAAAATGCTACCAACATTTTCATTGTCCGATTTAAATAGACTCCATAATTTCATTATTTTCCTTGTCAAAATAGACTTTATAGTATCGTTATTTACCTTGTAAAAGTAGTCACCATAATTAAGAGGAAAATTTTAGTTGAATAAATGAACAAATAAATAAAATTTCAGAAAAGGAAAAAAAAAATCTAATAATTACTCGAAATCAACACTCAAAAATCCTGCAAACTTAATTTATTAGAAACTTACGTCAAAACTTAACGTAGAGATCTAAATAAATATAAATAGATACATCCTTTAGAGATGCGGAGCATTACATTAATCCTCACCGTCTTTTAATGTGAAAAAACTCTATTTTTCTTCGACCTTCATAAAAGATAAGGTTAAGTGGCTAATTAGTGCCCCTAATGGGTGGACCCGATCCAATAATTATTTCCAACAGATAGAAGCAAACAGAGGGGATAAGGCAGAACATTTTTCTAGGATATAGTTGGTATCTAAAACCCCAATTTTAATTTATTCTCTAGGAATCAATAAAAGTGTTTAAATTTGTTCTATTTGTGATGGAGAATTTTCCAACTGTCATAGATGTAGATGGAGAATGGAGTTCAATCAAAGTTAGAATATATTCCTTGATCAACCACTTTACCAATAAGCCTCTTTATTGGTCTTACAACTCGAAATTTTTTAGGAACAATTGACACATAACAATCTGTTTGCATACAGATACAAGTTACAAGTACTACTCTTATCTTCCTACGCGACACTAGTTTGGTTCGCGGTTGATGTGGTTGCTCCCCTACTCATATTGTCGGGAATCATGCAGAAATCGTTCGCTCAAAATCTTGTAAAACTATCATCACTGCCAGTAATTCTTGTTCTCCTCTTCTATTGTTTGGATATGATGGTTTCAGCTAGAGGTAATATAACTCTTTGATAGTAGTTTTGTTGCAAAGCTATATGTTCTATCTGTATCAATTTGTTTGTTTGGTTTTTTACTTGGACAAAAAGTAAAGAATACTTTTAAATCTTCTGCATAGATAGAGTTGTCAAAAGAGACGTTTAGTTTTACATATCCTTTGATTGACCTGATATTACTGAATGAGGTATATTGGTAATTCATTTGTAACGACATTGTTCAGGCTCTCATGTGACTAATCCTGGTATTGAGTCCGATGACGATGATTTGAAGCAAGATGAGACATCATTGACAGTATCCACGAGGAAACGATTAGAGCCCCTGCATCGCGATACAGAATACAGACTAGTAACAGCATCTCAGGAGCTGGAAATGGAATTAGCAGCTAATAATTATAATAAGTCTAATAAGACATGGTTATGGTCGCGACAACAGCAGCCTTTTCAGCTATGTCTGGCTTGCAAGTGTTGTGTGTCCGCGGTGGAGACAGAGGCAGAGGCAGAGGCAGAGCCCAGCAACTGTACAAGCTTGCCTTGTTGCTTTGTTATAGACTGCCAACTCCCTAATAAGCCTTACGGAGTTTGTGCTTTTGTACCTAAGACTTGTAATTGTACCTCTTGTGCTACTCCTCTGCTCTAAGCCTTAACCAGACGTATTCAGTATTTGAAATTTATGATTTTCTTCAACGATCTCAAGTTAATACTATGATTATGATTGGATTCAGTGTCAAATATTTATAATATTTTGTTGATTTCTTAACATATATATATCTATATACACAAAATTGTTGATCCTCCCCGGCTAGCTACCAATACCCTCCTTACTTTCATCCCACACTGAAACAAACTCAATAACTAGACCAACACAAATTTAACTCAAACAACCGATAAATATATTGCACTAACTCGTAATTAGAATTACAAAGGAATTTAAGAACTAAAGGGAAATTGAAGAACACAGATAGAAGAAAAGGATGAGAAGTAGAACTCAAAAGAAAAGGGATGAGGAAATACAAATACTCCATAACAATTTGCATAACCATTCTTTCAAACTCCTAGTCCTTTTTAACAAATGATAATTGAGTCTGGATTCAAATAAAACTCTCTAATATTTTATTCGACTCAATAGTTAGAACTGAATCAGTCTCATTTATCATTTTTGAGCTCATACGCCCTTACAGGGTCAACTTGGTTCACAACACACACATTCCACAAGAATTCCACGGTAAATAGATGACTAACCATGCCCGCACTACTATGGTATACTTCCTTTATCTCAATTTATGTAATATACTTTATTTTTTAGTCCGTTTTAAAAAGAATATCACATTTTTATAACCGAAAACATTTAAATTTAATAATTCTCTTTTTACCCTTAAAAAAGATATGAAGTAATTTCTAGTTATTCAAATGATCAATAAGTGTTTTCGACTACAAATTTCAAAAAGTCATCCCTGTGCAAAGTGTAAGTCATTGGGACATCGTAGTAGGATGTCCTTGACTTTTTTGTTTTTTGTTTTTGGGATGTCCTTGACTTTATTTAAAGCATGTAACAGAAATAATACAAATTTCTTGAAATTTACATAAATAGAATAAATAAAATATTACAAGGAGTCCTTTAAGTACATCCTACTACGATGTCCTAATGACTTACAAAAAGGAGTTTAAGTTATATAAAATCATATAAATACCTTTGACTAGAAACATACATGTCGATCAAGAAATGTTGCTTCTACACTTCTCTATATAGTAGTAAGTAAAGTAATATCTTTAGTTTTTTTTTTTTGGTAAAGAAAGAATTTTATTACATGTGGTCAACTCTGTTTGACATGTAACTATTCACTTTCGGTAAAAATTATTTCTTTACCAAAAAAAAAAAAAAAACTAAAGATATTACTTTACTTTACTACTATATAGAGAAGTGTAGAAGCATCATCTCTTGATCAACATATATGTTTCTAGTTAAAGGTATTTATATATTTTTTACATTTTTTGTTTATAATTTTTTTTTGTTTTAGCCTTTTTGAATATTTAAATATCTTTGAAGAAAAACTAAAGATATTAGTTTACTTTACTACTCTATAGAAAAGTGTAGAAGCACATCTCTTGATCGACATGTGTGTTTCTAGTCAAAGGTATTTATGTAATTTTAATATTTTTTGTTATAATTTTTTTCTTTTTAGCCTTTTTTGAATATTTAAAAGTCTTTAAAAAATCTTATAAATCACGATAATCAATAACTTAAAATGTTTAAATTTTAATAGTCATAAAAATTTTGATTGACTCTCGAAATTCTATTGATGCAACATTAATTAGGATAGACAAGTAACATATATTATTTGAAAAATGACATGAAAATCACAATAATTAACAACTTAAATTTGATGGACTCTTAAAATCCTATCAGTGCCACGTAGAGCTGTCAAAATGGGTTGCCCCGACCAAACCCAACTCTAACGGGCTAGAGAGGTAAATGGGTTAGGACGGGTTGACCCTTTTAGTTAAAGGACCTATAAAATAGTAGCACCACCCAGCCCTAAGCGGGCCACAGATTGGGACGGGTCGACCCTTCAACCAAAAAATGAACAGCATTGGTGTCTTAGAAAGATTATCTAATTAAGAGTATCGAACATTGATGTCTGATCAATACATACAAAAATTCATTTATGAATTACACACTTCAATGAATACTTATAAAAATACATAATAGTCAAGATACATCATCGTAAAATTCATCTGAGCAAAAAATATTACATGATCACTTTTTTCATAAATAAGACAACAAAGGAGAAATGGAAAATTTAAAAACAAAAGTAGACTTGATGTTAGTGGGCTAATGGCCCTAAAATGTAAGAGATATGCAAATGAGTTGCACTTGATTTCATATTTTTTAAATATTTTTTGATAAAATCTTTACAAGTAAAGACTACTAAAATATGTATAATAAATATTTTTAACATTTATAGCCCACGGGTTGGCCTCTAAGGCTCGCGGGTTGGGCATACGAGGCTAACAAGCCAAATGAGGCTGGGCTAAAAATCCTCGTTCCTAAATGGGCCAAAAATTAGGTCCAACACTATTTATTTTAAAGGTTGGGTTGGGCTGACTTAACGGGCCAAACCCATTTTAACAGCTCTAGTGTCACGTAAATTAAAACACATGAAGTAATATATATTATTTAAAAATAATATAAAAATACTATAAATTATGATAAATAAAAACTAAAAATATTTAAAAATAATAATTTTAAAAAAATAATATTCTAAATTTCATTTATGTCACATAATTTGGATCTTAGTTTTTTAAGATTTACTTTCACATCTTCATGTTTGTTAAGCCGCCCTAGTGGTAATGTATTACTTTATGAGGAATCCACCTTCAGTAAAGACAAATAAGAAAACAACAACAGATGCGCAAGCGGTATACAAGACCAAGAGTAAAGCATTAACCTTGATATACCTAATGTGATGCGATTAGGTTGCTCCTTCCTTAATCAGAGGCTTCAAGTTTGAAATATGAGTATGAAATTCTTTTTTATAGAGTGTTACCCTTTGAATGGAGCCTTATCAAATGTGAATCTAAACTAATTGAAATTCAATATAGATATCGAACATTGAATGAAATACTAAAAAAAACATTAATATAGCTAATTAAGAAGAGAATGATCATGAATCATGTATAATTACCAGGATTAACGTCAAAACATTGGCCTTAGATATTCATAAACATATCGTTCGATATTTACTTCTTTTGTTCTAAATTATATGATATTTTGTTAATTTATTTGAGATTTAAATTACAAAAAATTTGACTATTAAATTTATATTAAAAAAAAATTACTATATTAACATGAGAAGAATTGTAATTTATAATACTTTTGTATAGTTTTTAATATTTTAATTTTAATTTTAAAATATTCAATTAATGTAATTTAATTTACCTTTAACAATTATTTTACTTTTTACTCCCTCCCCTTACTCCTTTGATAACTCGAACTCATAACTTTAAGTTTGAAAGTAGTGAAGGATATTTACCATCCGAATAACTTTCTCTCGTCCTTAACGATGAGAGAAATATTCTAGCTAGGTGTGACTACTTTCAAGCATTTCTATTTTAGAATTTTCTTTGTTTTTCGTAGAAACTTGGTTTTTAGTATGGAAAATGCGTGAGCTGTATTAGGTAATTAAATAGTAAAATCCAAATTGAAGTTGGTCCAATAAGAAAGCAGGACCCTACATAAGCACATAGACTTCAGGGTGGTTGTAGTTGTAATAATTGGCTGGTAATTAAGGTTGCCATGCCTCGGCCTCGAGTACGGGTGTAGATACGGGTGCGGATTTATATGTTGGATTCTTCATGATTTAATTTTAAAGATTTGAAGATATAGATCCATGTACGGATACTGATGCAGGGATTTGCCTAAAAATAATTAAAATATCTAAACATAGATTTATAAAACCTAAATTATGAGATATTGTGTGGAGAACTTGAGGAGAATCCGGAAGGAGATCAAAGAAAAAGGAATGGCATAGAAATTTCTATATAAAATGTATTTCATTTCCTTCAATTTCACCTTAGCTCTTTTGTATTGATTACAGAAATCATTAAAATTGTCGAGACTTTCCCCATCGATTTTGGTCAAAGTATTCAAAATAGGTTGACCAATTCGGATATGGATCTCACACCCACGCCCACATCCATATCGTGTCGACACATATGCGGCACCAAAAATAAAGAGTCCGAGCAACTCAGGCGATGCATATTGCTTTTCTGGCCTTTTGCTGAGATCAAGTCCAATATTTCTTCTCGTCGGTCAAATATTTGATATAAGTCATTGATTCATACTATATATATATATATATTCAATTCTACTAATATGAGTTGTGGTGCAGTGGGGAGATTGTTTCACATTTAATTAGAGTTCTCCGATTCGAACCTTGGATAATAGAACATCTTGTTGGGAGCGTCACCCTCAAATGAACCATGTAGTACGCAATTCTAATTTAATCAAGGCTCTAATGCAAATTCCCCGAATGGAAAACCAACCAAAAATATTATTGATTCATTTTTTTTTTATGTGTACTCCACTCAAGAAAAAAGTAATATTTGTTGAAGTGGGTAAGCATGAATATACTCTTATTTATTTTATTAGATATATTCTTCCTACGTTTTTTACGGGTGATTTTGATTTTTTTATGGGCCAAAATACGTGTAGATTTTCTTTAATAATGGGTGGCAGTAAGTAATATTCAATTTTAAGATCTCTATTTATTCTTATATCATGTTAAGAATTGAATCTAAGATTTAACTCAATTGTAATAGTAACTAACTTGAAAGGTGGAGACCACCAAATCATATAAACATACCACACATCCTATAAGAACCAAATTTTCAACACCCTTACATATCTAGAACGTGAATAATATAATTAGGAAGTCAACTACGAGAAACCAAGAATTAGATGTGTGTTTTTTCTTTAAAAATTTTGGGTGGGGAAGCGAAAATGTGGGAGTGGATTACAATGTGGGGAATCGAATCCTCACCAATAAAGCAAAAATTCAAATTACCAACCAACTAAGCTACTAAGATTCCTCTGGATGCCGCTTAATTATATCCTCGAGGTTAATTTTTTGCGTTCTTCTTTCTTTCCTTACTATTTTTTCGACCAAAATATATAGGGGGATTACTCTTCCAGTGGGCAACTAACCTATACCATTAATCATAATTAGTTGATTAATATAAACTTTAGAGAGATCTATACCTATAATATTATTATTATTATTTTATGTAACTAGGAATAATGGAAGTGGACATAAGGCCAGCTGGCCCTACCTCAATTTGATCCTGATATTTAACATTGTTAATAACCACTTGACTTAATACCATCCACTAATAATTTCTTATTACTAATTAAACAAACATAAATTAGTTACTCCCTCCGTTTAAAAAAGAATGACTTCATTTCCTTTTTAGTCAGTTTAGAAAAGAATGACTCTTTTCTTTTTTTGGTAACATTTTAATTTCAGTTTTCCACTTGGCATGTTTAAGGCCACAAGATTAAAGGGTAATTTTGTACATTTAACATAACTTTAATTTAGGACCACAAGATTTAAAAGTCTTCTTTATTTTATTAAATTTCGTGTCAAGTCAAACTAGACCATTCTTTTTTAAACGAAGGGAGTATAATATAGGTATCTCTTTCCACATAAATACATTAATTCTTGTAGCATGGCCAATAATCTTCCAATTAACATTCTTAATTAGAATAGTTAATTAATATTTTGCGTACTAGGTTTATAACACATTCGAACGCGACAAAGACTCGTCATCTTCCACTATGTTTAGATCAAAAACTAAATAGAGAGATTATATATATTAATCATATTATAAAATAATAATAATAATAATCTTGTTCTAATCTAATTATATTTATTAAGAGATCAACAAGGGCAAGTATACTACAACCATCTTACTTGCATACATGTCAAAAATTCATCCATCATATCATCATCCTAAAATTTTGCGACGCAAACGTCTTGTTTACAACAAAGACGATGATCGTGAATATAATAATAATAATCGTCTTCCTCCTCTTCCTCCTCCTCGTCTACCTCGTGTAATAACAAGTAGACCACGGGTTAATTCCCCGTCTATCTTCACGGTTTGGAAGAAATCGAGTATGAGTTTCCAAGGTACGGATGGATTCACGGTGTTCGATAAGCAAGGGAGGTTAGTTTTTCGGGTTGACAACTATACCCGAAGGAAGAATCGGGCCATCGCTAGCCGGGGCAGCCGGTCCAGCGGACTAGTACTCATGGACGCACAGGGTAAACCTCTCTTAACATTGAGACCACAGGTACATATGGTTCATCTTCATTTCTTGTTACAAATCAAGACTGAATACAACGATAACCCTTTTAACTTGTTAGTCAATTTCATTTAGACACTCAGGATTATGACATGTTCCGCTTGAGCACTTCTTAAATACATGATTCATATTAGATACTAAATACTTCCGATTCAAATTTTTGCTAAAATTTCTACACGTGTTCATTATCACGTATAATATATCACTTTCTTTGATTATTCGTGTTAGCCTCAGTAAACTATAAATCAGGCATATTTCAATTGATGTTGATGTGTATATTAAAGAAAGTGTCATATTTTATCTGACTATACATAATGACACTTGAGAACACGCACAAAAGTTTTAGGTGTCTAAGAGAAATACATGATTATATATTCAGGTGCTAGCTAAACTAGAACATACCATAGTTCATATATTTAAATGAAATTTACTGATAAACTTAGAAGGCTATCAATATTCAACCATTAATCAATTTACGAATCATATATATATAATCATGCATCTATATATTAACAGATGAACGCGCAATTACAATATGAATGGAATGGATATAACGGAGGAGAAGATGATGACGGATCCACTCCTTTATTCGTAATGAGAAGACCTCCATCATCTTTGTTCGCGATGATGGGAGCAAGCATGACGACTTCGTCATGCCAAGCTCAAGTATTTGTTGCGGGAGAAAATGATAATATTGTCATGGACATGAAAAAGAGGCAGAGGAGGCCAAATTACAGAGTGGAGGGTTCTTTTCGTAGGCGAAATTGCAACATCACAAATTCAGATGGTCATATTGTAGCAAATATATCGCGAAAAGTAGCTAACGCTACTACTCACACCACTATTTTGATTAGCGACGATGTTTTTAGCTTGGTCGTGCAACCAGGATTTGAACCTCACATTTTTATGGCTTTTGTTATTATTTTGGATCGTATGTATCCTAACTCATACACTCCCCTTATTTGTTCTAAATGTAATTGATTTTTATCTCTAAATTATCAAATTCAATTTGTTGACAAAAAATTGTTGTGGGAGTTTGTTTAAAGCAATTTGAAGACTAAGGCATATCCTGTAAGGGTAAAAGAGTCATTTTACTCTAACTGTAATTACCAGTTTGTTAGTTAGTTAACCACCCATTCGGAAACATGCTCAGCCAATACAACAGGTAATAATACTAAATATTCTTGTCTAACTAACAAACATGAGTGATTTAAAGATAAGGGTGACAATTTCTGTTCATATAAGTGGAAGTAGTTCATTTAACTCATATTAACTAAATGGATACTCATATTTTTTAAATGAGTACTATGAGTTTCATTGTAACCTATTTTGAAAGCTCATACAAATATATATGAATAATAAAGTGGATAAAATATGGAAATCCAAATAAACCCATAGATCACCCACCCACTTATAAAAAAAAAATTTAAAAGGAAACTTATGTAAATCCCACTAGTTTAGAAGTTAATTACTTAGATACACATTCTAGTTTGCAATATTACAAATCTTACCAGATTTGGATATGCTCAGATACATGTATCTCGGGATATATGTGGTTAAAATCAGGTGTAATTTGTTCTACATACATCGTATCCAAGTTGATTCGCATGTATCTAAGATGCATAGACAAATCTCACTCGCTTCCCTCCATCTCACTCGGTACTATCCTATGTATTTCGTATCTCGGATACATGTGAACCACACTAGATATTTATTTATCTAGTGTGGTTCGCATGTATCTGAGTTACATGACTATCTCGCTCGCCTCCCTCCCCATATCGCTCGCCTCCCTCCCCATATCGCTCGCCTCTCTCCCTATTTTAATGTATTTTGTAGCAAAAATACATGTTTTAAGTGTATCTTCCTCAATATATGGTAGAAACTTTTAATAGTGGTAACATAATTATTTAAAAGTATAGATAGAATTAATATACATGGTATAACTGTCTAATAAGGTAGTTTCCCAAAAAACAAAGGGTAACTTACAGAAATCTCACTAGTTTAGTACCTAAATTACCTCCCTTTCCTTCACTTTTCATTATTAAGAAACTTAACATAATTTAGACTTCAAATACATATATCTAGTGCGTCAAGATACACGTATCTCGGATATATGGGGTTAAAGTTAAGTGTAATTTGTTCTAGATACATTGTATCCAAGTAGATTTACTCTCTTGCACGCATCTCTCCTATCTTGCTCCCATCTCTCACTCGCTTCTCTCCCTTTATCTGGTCGTCCCCTCTTATCTCACTTGCCTCTCTTCTTCTCTCGCTCACCACTCTCCCTATTTTATTATATTAGGAAGCAAAAATTATATGTATCGAAGTGTATCTGACTTGAAATCTCATATGATTTAGTGAGACAATATGTAATTATTTCAAAATATAGAAGTATTAATAAAGACATAATAAATAAACATGACCATTAACTTGACTTCAACGAACAACTATTCCCTCCAACTTTGAGTATGCACAAGTACACACTTAAACTTGTATAAAATTGAACAAATGGACACATTCGTCCTACATGACACCCTACATGGCAATTTTGTGTCCTACGTGTATTATGCCATGTAGGACACATGTGTCCACTTGTTCAGTTTTATACAAGTTTAAATGTCTACTTGTGCGCACTCAAAGTTGGAGGTTATAGTTGTCCACTGACCCATGTTTATATAATTTTTCCAAATAATTTTCCCAAAAAGAAGGAAATCGAAATACAAAGCAAGACAAACAAAGTGAAAACCAAAAGGCCCAAAATGAAAAAAGAGAGAATCAAATTAGGCCCCAAAGCCCAAACCCGATTTGGACATACAAACACATATCAGATATCAGCTCAGCAACCAATTTAGAAAGTGCTACAAACCCCTTCTCTCCTCTGTTGTCAATCATCTTCTCCGATAGCTCGGAGAGTCGCCGGAGTGAGAGCAGCATCGCAAGGATCGATCTCTTTACTTTTTATTTCTCGCCTTTCATACGGTGGTGAAAACCCTAACTCAAAAGGGAAAGTGAAGAGCGGTTCCGATGAAGCTTCTGGAAGGTGAAGAGGGCAATTCGCCGGAGTCCAATGGAGGTATGTCTTCTCATTCTCCTACAATTTCCACTGACATAGGTGTTTTGTTTCATTAGTCAAGAGAATGACTTGAATTTAACTCAATCCATTAACAAATTTATATGATGAGAAGAAAGGCCAACTTTTTCTACCTTTGATGAAAACACTTGCACCAATAACTAATATATGGTTTTGCGTTCGAAATCATAACCCAACTGTGAGTGTTGATGCAAGAACAAAACTATGTGATAAGGAAAGCAATAAAATTGTATACTCCATTGTTTCTAGTAAATTACTCTTTTTGTTCCCGTTCTTCCGGTCGTATCAATTTGGTCTTCAAATCCTCATAGCATTATAATTTTTTAATGAACAGGGTGTAGCCATGAGAACTACAGAAATAAACTTAGATTAGTAACATTTGATTCTAGTCTGAACCTTTAGTTTGTAAGAGGTTTTGGCTTAACAATAGAATAATAACAAAAAACTGCAACAACAAAGAGCTTGCAGGAACTCAAAAACAATTGCTAACTCAGTTTTTTTAAAATTTTTTAAAATGCACAAAACCTGCTCCTTAAAGCATAGTACGAGTAAATAAAGAAGAGTAATAGTACTGTCTAACATAATGGAATAAGTCTTCAAAACACCAAGTGCAGTATCAATGTTAACAGCCTATCTGGTTGTGACCAACTAAAATCAACATTGACAGCTTCTAGATTAGTATGTTCTCTGGTCTGAGTTATGACGAGAACAGGATAACGTTGATATATTGAAGCATAATGCAAAGCTGACTATGTTAAATTGTACCCTCAGCCACACCATGATCTTTTCTCGTGGAAATTCTCTTGAACAACCAATTCTGCTTTGATATTCTATTTGTAGGTCTTTTTAATAGAAATATATTTGGCGGTGTCTAAAAAAAAACTGATTGTATATAATGGAGGAGAAAACTTTGTTATCTGTAAAAATCTATACATTTTCTTCCAATGACTAAAATTCCTATGTTTGGTAATTACATTGCCTAGTTAGTGATCTATCATCAACTATACAAAATTTACAGGTCAATCTGAAATATGTATGATTGAGCTGTGTTTAATTTTCTGAAGTAGCAAGAACTAGATGATCTCCATCTCTTATCAGTGCAATGTCCTCAATAAGTGCTCCATCTTCAGTTAGTACTTCAGTGAGAGAGATGCCAAATTTCTCAGCACCGATATCAAGTAGCTCTTGTATGGAATCCGGCAAAGGCACAACTCTTCTACGCATATCAGCTTTCTGTAGACAACCGATGGTTATTCTGCCTGGAATTCTTGAATTTCCAATTTTAGCTGAAGAATATTCTGGACCTATCAGTGAATTCCGAAAGAAATTAGCCCTTCTTCTCAATCTGGCATTGGACGAACCATTTTCGCTAGCTACTGATGTTGTTTCTTCAGGAGTGAAGATATGTTCTATATCTGCTAATACTGCAGTCATCATTGGGTCTGTTTGCTCTTTCAAATGCTGAAGGAGATTGTTCATAATTATTGTCCTGTCTCCTTTATTTGCTTTAACGGTGTTGAAAAATGAAGTACGATCCAGGCGTAGCAGTTGGGATATTCTTTTGGTTCGAACAGTAAAAAGTTGAGGCCTACAACAAAGGATACCAACTTCTCCGCAAACATCCCCTGCCTTCAACTCGCCAACTACATGATCCATACCATTCTTGTGTGATATAAGATCCACTGCTCCAGTTACGAGGATGTAGAGTTCTGTTGATGCTTCATTTTGCAAAATGACATCCTCTTTTGGAGGGAAATACTCGGCCTTCATCTCAGAAATCAGTTGAAAAAGTAAGTCATTTGATATCCCCTGGAATAAGTAGGCCTTATCCACCAGTGAATAGAATAGATGATGTGAAATGGCAGATCGAATAGCTCTGGGTAGTGTTTCAAGAGTTTCTTGCTGCTGCAGACCTTCCGTATCTGTTCTGTGCATCATTGACAAGTGATCTAGCATCTGTTCTTCAAGTCGAACAGGCAGATTATTCCTTTGTGCAAAGCTTGAGGCAGCTTGAATAGCATCCCTAAATTTCTGCGTCTTATTGGTTCCATGGACAACCAAGTTGGTCATGTTTCCAATAAGATATGCAGTCAGCCCGAGGTCGAATAACATGTAAACCATGGTGAATATCATTTCCTCTGTAGTGACAGCATGCAAATCCCCATAGCCAGTTGTTGTAAGAGTTGTAATGGACCAATACATAGACATTACATAAAGATCCCAGATACTCCTATCATGAAGATTTCCCAGTGAAAGCCATGTTTTACTAACGTCTTTAATCCGAGCAGCAAGAAAGTAGTAGAAGCAGCCAGCAGAATGAACAGCAAAAAGAGTGACACATACAAGCTTGAGTACTCGAATCCCAAAGTAACTCAACTTGTTGTTTTTCTCCAATTCGACAAACATGGCACTGACTCTTCTGAGACGCCAGAGACGAAGCATACTCAAGAATCCATATGATTGAAGAATACGAGGCAATGCTTCGTAAGGGATAGTGGATATGAAATCAAAGATAAATCCATATTTTATATACCTCAAAGCAATGCGCTTTGGGTCATCAATCATAGTGTAAGTTGATTTATCAAGATATGCAACAAAGAACAATGAGAGGATAATGTCAATGGCAAAAAAGAAGTTGACTATGTTATCTAAGATGGCAATAAGTCCTTGAGGTGTTTCTAGAAATCCAATCTGAAAAGGTGATGCCCATGCTGTGTAGAAAACAAGAAGCACCAAAAATGCGTCCCAAACCTTGTAACGGGGATTAGTAGGGGAGATGATGTAGTTACGAAGCCTAATTTTGCTATCACTATGGCCGCCAAGAGAAGGAAGAATACCACTGTTAATACAATAGTGAGAGCTTATATCCTCCATTGAATACACTCGAACCTCGACGCCGGCCTC